GATGTCTTTTAAAATAAAAACTTTTATTCACAAAATTGTATATATGCGTATAATAATACACATATATATATAAATTTATCAATAACAAGATTTGTGCTGTTCTATCTTATATAGAAAGTTGATTATTTATGAATATTTATTTCTTTTGAATATGAATGTTTTTTTTTTTTTTGTGTGTGTGTGTGTGTGTGTGTGTGTGAATGAAAATCTTAACGAACAATTTGATTTTTCTTACTTTCTGAACTGTCAATAAACCTGAAAAAAACTTAAGTTATTTTTTGCTTAAACCAGTTATTAGAAAAGGAAAAGCACATCTATAAGAATTGTTATGTAGGAGTTCCCTGTGACATGGAATTTGTTTCAACAATGTCAAAGGCAAAAGGTTAAAAAACATTTCTCTATAATGTCATTTATTAGATAAAGGATTGGAGGAAAAATGTATTTATTCTGAAAAAATATTAATATACATATTTTGGTTAATCTAATTTTTCAATTTGTGTAGCATGGCTTTTATTATATTTTTTATTCTTGTCTGTTGAAAATGTATGTATATGTGTAATATGAAATTTGATTTAATGAGGGAAATAAGTAGCACTTGAAAAAAATGATATTTTTGGTTTAGAGTTTTCTTTGTTGAATATTTTGAATTGAAAATTGTTAAAATTATTATCCTGATAATTTATATTGGAATTCTTTGATAAGGAATTATCATTATAATATGTGTTATTATTGTGAGTATAACAACAAAAGATGGGCTTGCTGGTGTCAATAATAAGTCATATGTTATCCAGATATTGAAAAAATAATTTTTTGTGAATAATTTATATTAAAAATAATATAAATTATAAGAATATATATATATATATATATATATATATATATATATATATATATATATATATATATATATATACTAGCAGTAGAGCCCGGCATTGCCTGGGGATGTAACAGTAAGAGATAGATCAAGTATCAACCATCATAAAGACTAAAAAATAAAATTGAAAAAGATTATTGTTTAAGGTTGATGGACACGCATGTCTTAATTTTTTTTTTTTTTTTTTTTTTACGAATTGGTCAAACCCAAATTCAAACAAAAACATTGTTTACAATCGTTATGAGTCTATCGATTGGTGAATAGAATTTTATTATAAACAATTGTCTTGTAAATGGAATTTTTAAAGCATTCTGAATGTAAAAATAAAAAAAAAAAATGTGCAAGACAATAAGAAACACTGCATAAAAAAAAAAAAAAGTGAAGTTTTGTTGAAATCGGTTGAAAAATGTAGGTAGCCTTTCTCTGTAATCTTTTTTTACAATTTATGATTTTTACTTATTGAATACAGTAAAAAAATTGCATATTTTGCTTGTGGTGATTCATAATTAGAATTCTGATTTGAATAAATTTCCCCTCGTTGTTTCTAATACAAAAACTATTAACTTTATTTGGGTTTATTAATTTATTACAAGTACTGTGTTCTTTCCTTAATAATTATCATCTTCAAAATATTGTTGTTTTTTGTCTATCAGATTTCTTACGTCGGCATTTTAAAATTATTTCTTAATACTTTCTTTTAAATATTGAATTAATTTCAAGCAGAACCAATGCCTTATTGATCTGCCTTGTAACAAATTGCAAAGGGAATTGTAAAAACGGCCCTAAAGTACGTGGAATTATCTTTCCCTAAAGATAAAGAATTATCCGATTTTTCAATTCGTACAATCAGTAGAGATCGTTAGATTATTGTTTAGGTTGATGGACACGCATGTCTTAGGTTTTTTTTTTTTAGGAATTGGTCAAACCCAAACTCAAACAAAAACATTGTTTTCAATGAGTCCCCCGATTGAATAGAATTAGAATTTTATTATAAACAATTGTCTTGTAAATGGAATTTTTAAAGCATTCTGAATGTATAAATAAAGAAAAACGTGTGCAAGACAATAAGAAATACTACCTGCCAAAAAAAAGTGGATGTTTGTTTTATCGGCTGAAAAATGTAAGAAATCCGATCCCATATATAAACACACACACACACACACAACCTGGGTTTTTGAGCCTAAGTCACTCCATATGGAATCGCTAAAACATAGAGCATAGTCTGATGAAAAAGATGCCAAAAGTTTATGAAAACAAAATTTTATCGTCAAAATGCTTATGTTTTTATGAAGAGGATAGACTAAATTTTTTTTAATTATTTTAAAAAAAATTTTTCCATCTTTTTAGAATATTCTAAATTTTGATTTAAAAACCTTGTTTCTCTTTGTTTGTTGCAACAAGGGGTAGTAAATAACATAGATAATTTTTAGCACGTTTTTTTTGTATTTACACACATTAATTTGGAAAATCTTGCAAAAATAAAAATAATTGTCAGATGTTAATGAAACTTTCAGAAACTATTCACAGATGATCAAAATTATTATAAATATGTTTTGTTTTCAAGTCATGGCAGAAATGTTTTTTTTTTATATTTATTAACATCCCCATAACTAATTTTAGGAAAAACTCTAGAAATTCAGACCATCGGTTTTAGTGATTAATAAAAAAAGCACAAGGCTTTGAAGAATGCAAATCATGTTTTTTTGGCCAACGTACCTGAAAATCAGCTGTGAATTGTAACATACAAAACTCAATAAAACAAATATATTATTTAGTTTCAAATGCTTTTATTTGTTTTAATTTGTTTTTATGAATATGGACAATATTTTCTGAAAAAAAAATTTTTTTAATAAAATTATTTTTATTTCTTTAATTTTTAAAAGATTTAAAAAATTTTTTTTAAATTGAATTTTAAAATATTTTAACATTAGTTAAAAGCAACATCAACCTTTCAAAATGTCCGTGTGAGATTGTCATTGTTAGCGCTTTGAAAATTGTATAATTTGGACCAATCAGATTAGCCATGGTAATTAAGAAATGTAATTTTTTGTGTTTATAATCGGACAGTAATTATCAAGTACGAAAGACCAACCAGAATACAATTTAGTTGCATTATTTGAGTTCAGCATTGTTCTCCGCTGTTAAGCCCTTTACTTTTTTTGAAACACGTATGGAGAAGTTAATTTGAGTTTTCAATTTCAACTGAGAAGGGTACCTACAAGTAACAGTATCATCTTATGAAATTTAACTCCTGCTAAACTTTAATTTATATGATCTTATTTTTATATTAATCTCAGTTATGACATTTTTCCATAAATGAAATATCAAAATTAATAATAAAATGAATGGAAATACAAATAACACAGTAAATGTAATAAATGTACATAAAATTATAGTATTTTATGTACACTTCTGATAAAATTTCACAAGAAAGGTACCTAAATTAATTAGATAATTTTTTTCTTATGAAATTTAATCTCACTATTAACAGTCTTATTTTTTAATTTCTTTTACATTTTCCATAAAGCATCGTAAACGTAAAAATGAAAGCTAAGTACAAAAAAAAAAAAAAATAAAAATTAGAGCGCTGAAAGTTTTCCTTAAAAGTAACGAGGTAAATAATTTGTTCACTTAAATAATTTCACTTCCTTCCATCCGTAGAAAGAATTATCCTCCCGTAAGTTATCTAAATGTCATGAATGTGCCTTTTGTCAATCGTCAAGCGACGTGAAAGGTTATGACCTGCTTTGTTTTATTTTCAAATTACATTTTTTCGGCGCAGAAACTAAGTTAAGCTTGGTTCAAAATATTTTAAATAAACAGTATAATTTCTGTTTTTATTAAAATCAGGTTTAAAAAAATGATAATTGATTTTTAAAAGAATATCAAAGTCAGATTTTAATCTTTTTTTATCAAATCGAAAAAATGATTGAAAATGATTGATTATCTGTCTTTTTTTGACCAAAAAAAAACAATATTTTTAACGAAAATTTCAGACGTGCTAGGAACGATTAAAAAAAATAAAAAAAATACCCCCAAAAATATTTTGATCTTTCCTCTTTAATAATAATATGAATATTAGACGATAAAATTTTTTTTTCGTCAAGTTCAAGTTTTTTTTTTCATCATGCTATGCTCTTTTTTTGTTTACATTTTCATGGGTGAGTCGTCCCCTTTCATTCTCACGGTGTGTCTTAATCGTGTTTTCAAATTGATTTTGTTAAAAAACAATTGTGTTTTTCCCATTTTCGGTGCCATTAGAACCACCACAAGGTAATTATATGTAGTCCTGTGAAGTTTTGTTGAAATCGGCTAAAAATGTAGGAAATTCGATCCAATATATAAACGTTACAGACACACACACACACAATCTGCGTTTTATAATAAGTAAGATATATATAGACATGGTCTCAAGCTCTAATAACATCCCAAATAGTAGGACAGAAATGAGCCAAATTTTTAAAATAAATAAAGCTCAAGATGTAGATACAAGGAGAAAACTTTTGGACAGCAAGGGATCAAGGCAGGTCGTCAACAGCAAAGAAGGCATTTGACATCAAGAGAAGAACACAGAAGACAACAGTTACCAGCCAACTGCAGAGAGACCAAAGTTCAAGTAAAAAATTTCCTGTAGTTAGCCTAGAAATAGATTTTGAAGAAATTTTCCCTAGTACAAACTGTGTGAAGTTAAAAGGGACTTTTTTTCAAAAAAAATTACTGTGAAAGTAGGTCTTTTCAGTTTTTTCAGAGGTTGTTGAACCTTGTTTTTTTTACAGCCTTCTTATATTGTTTTTTCCCTTTTTGCCATTTACGAAATCCTTTTTTTTCTCTAGCTGTAATTTTCCACTTTTCATTGGTAATCCTTGAAATTGTTATCCTGCCTTAATAAGCACACAAATGTAAATTCTTGTGCAAACTTGTAGCTTTTTTTGTAATTGTGAAAACTGTAAATAAATGTGTTTTTTCCTTTTAAAATTTTATGCAATGGTTGTCTTGTTTTATAATTTGTGCCTATTATTGTGTCTTGCTATTTTTACTAAGTTTTTGTGTTTGAAATAAGAACTTGGATTTAGTAGGAATCAAATTTTTATATGAAAGTTCTTCTTTATTCACATTTTTTGTCTAGCTGATAAACATGTGGCAGATTTTCCAGAAGAAAATACTCAAAATCAGGAAGAAGTTGCAAGTAGCTGCAACATAGTCAATGAATGGAGAAAACAAGAAATCATGAGGATAATGGACATGAATTTCCCTGAATTCAAGCTGAAATCTGATGAATTCTTTCAAAACATTGCAGAGTGGGCTGATCCACAATGCTATGAAGGCATCAAGGAAACACAAAGATTGAATCGAATACTGTCAGAGAAAATTGAGAAAGAAAAAGAGGTGAAACGTCAAGGAATGTTACTCCGACAAAAGTAGGTGGCTGCGATTGGTTATGGCTAAGTACCTCCATGGACTTTCTTAACAAATGCTAAAAAAAACATTTTAAATAATATAAATATCGTCTTTGAAGTTAAATTTTGATTTTATTTAAAGATAATAGCCTAAAGTTAATCCAGGAAAAAAGAAAAATTATTTTACATCCTTAAATAAAGATTTTAGACCTTTTTAATGTAAAAACGTAAAAACAAATCCATTTCCTCCCAGTTCAATTAGTGCATTTGATGGAGAAGAGGAATTAAAGCCATTTAAATATCTCTTACAAATCTAATATCTGTTCCAGACACTTGATTTGAAAAAAAAAATAGTAAATTTAAGGATTTTATAAAAATGTTACTTATTGTAAAAAATACATTTTCCCCAACAGGAAATTCATGTTATAAATAAAAAAATACATAAGCCAATTGATTACAAAACTTGTAAATATTTATCAGGTCAGTTACAAATCCTTACCTAAGTGATTTCTTTATCTTTATATTCGTAACATTATAATATCAAAAATATTATTGAACAAACAAAAAACTTATCAGCATGAGTAGATTAGTCAAAATGTTCAATAATTTTTAGTACTCCTGAATGATAATCATAATGATAATAGTAATATTGTTTCCTTATAAGGAAACATTCAACATTATTGACTGAGCAACCAGTGCTACTTTTAGTTGAAATTTATAAGGTCTTTTAAAACAATTCAGGAAAATAGGTGCTTCAAAACAAGTAACTCTTATTTTCTCTTTCCAGTATTGATAAATGTTTCTACCTAACCTTTTTATTAAGTAGTATGGAACATCAATATCTTAATTATGTCATTATTTTTTCTTCACATTATGTGTGATATCCATTTTAATTATTGCTGCTATTGAAAATCCTCAAGTGATGTGGTTTCTGTTATTTGTTACAGTTCTTTCTTTGTGATTCTGTAGTATCAGTCCACAAGGTTCAAAGAAGGATGGTCTTCATTTACTTGAAGCCATTTTAACCATTGATCTGAGGAGAAAGTGGTTGTATACAGCTAACAGTTTAGATATTTCTGAAAGTGTTTGGTGCCGTATATGACATCCACATGAAAGTCATGATCAAACCTATTTAAGAACATGATTTGAGTCTTTAAGTTTGTAGCAATTTGTGGTGTTGGAAGAAACTACCCCTAGCACACCATATTTTATGTTCAATTTCCTTTACTTCTATACTAAATTTGTTATAATTGATTCATAAACCAAGCATTTGAAGTGTTTGGTATTTACTGATTCCACATCCTGAATTTTTATGATGGATTCATGGTAGGTGCCATCACTGTTTTCATACCAATTTCAGATCATAGTTTCTGTTTTGGAAAGGTTTATCTTGAGTCTTATTTCTTGGAACACTTGGTAGGGAGTGTTGATTCTTTGTTCAACATCATTCTTATTCCAACTATGGGTACCTATATCATCAACATAGCCTTATCATTATCTGTACATTGATCTTCATCTGTCCATCTCTTCATATCTGTGCTTGTATAGGCAGAAGATATAGTATAGGAAAAATTAAATAGGTTGATGCACTTGTTTCCTCCTTGTCATACTACTGATGAGGTTTGTATTGTCTCAATATTGAGGTTCTCACCACACATGTATGTTTTTGTGGATAGATATAGTTCTTCTATCAGATCTCAATATTCAATGGAGTCAGATCTTCAGATCTTAGAAAGCAGTTTTCCATGGATGAGAAAGAGAAGTCTTTCATAATATAGTCATATGCTGCTACTGTCAAGTTAACAAAACTGATATACAAAATTCTATTGGTGTGGTATGCAATTTCCTGGATTTTGATGACATATATGCCATCATTACGCTCCATATTTTTTATGTGCAGTATCCTCTCAGGATGTAGGCAATCATGGCTCTCCACAGTTTCCAGTCCTTTGTTGTTCTTAATAATTTTTTTCTTTTTGTTATTTTTTTCCTAAACCTTGTTCTGTCATCCATATATTTAAGCTGATCAAGTATGTTATATACTGTTTTCCTTTGTCTCTCTTGCTCTCAATCTGTCCTGTGAGTATCAAATTTCCAAGCCCTCCTTCCTCATTATATGCCCCAGAAATTTCAACTGTCTCTTCCTGATGTTAAGTATAAGTTACCTTTTCTCTAAAACCTCATTGTTGGTCACATGTTTTCCGTCCATGGTATCCTCAGCATCATTTCTGTTGCTTCAAGTCTCTTCCTCATCTTTGAAGAAATTGTCCAGTATTCACTGCCATATAGAAGAACAGATAGCACATAACAGTTCAGGACTCTTTTCTTTGTTTCTAAAGAAGTTTTATGTTTTTTAATACTCAGCTTTGCTTTTGGAATGAATCCCAATGCATCTTTAGATTTCTGTGTCAAACTATCCATCTTCTATTTGAACACTTCTCAGATATTTAAATTTTTGTACTTGTTTGATTTTGGTATCTCCAATTTGTAATTTGCATTTTGGGTTCACTCTTTTGCTAATGACTATGCATTCTGTCTTCATGTTGTTTGTTTAGTCCTTTTTTGTCACTTTCTTTCACTACCTTCTGTAGGAGCTTTTGTAGTTTCCTTTCTATATCTGCTATCAACACTGCCCTCTGCATATCTTTTGTTGTTAATATTATAACTCCAATAATGAATCCTGGTAAGACATCTAATTCTCTTAGAACTGTCTCACTGTATAGACTGAATAAGTTTGGTTGTTGATAAGACACATCCTTATCTTACATCCCTTTCTATTTTTGTATATCTGCTGAACTAATTTTCTGCCTGTATGCAGGTGATTTGCTGCCAGTATATGTTCTTGATTATTTTAATATCCTTCCCAAATATGTCAAGATTGCTGAGCAGTTTCAACAAACCTTTGTAGCATACTTTATCAAACTCTTTTGCATAGTCTATAAAACACAGGTACACATCATTTTGCATTTGCATTGCTCTTTCTGATAACATTCTGAGCATAAATATCACTGTTATAGACAAGTGTGTAGTTGCAAGAAAGAAATACGACAACAGCAGAAATAGATTTACGTGATTTATTTCAATAGGAATGTGTGGTTTTGGGACAGCTACCTTGTATTATAGTTTGTAAGCCGGCTTCCGATCTGGGTTGATCTCTCATAGTAGTTCTCACTGGTTGGCGTGGCGCTCCTCCTGCTGACTGCTGCCGACCGCTCAGCCTGACCATGACAGGTCTCTACCCTGGCCTCCTGTTGACTGCTGTTGTACTTCCCCATGCGACCCCTTTTATGGCATTTTTTTATGGCTTAACAGGCTCGTAAAATGACGTGAGTATAATTATGATGGAAGCATTTTTATTGGTCGAAAAATAGAAACACTTTAAAATATTATTTTATTTTTTGACCAGAACTTGTGCGTCAGGCCTATGCATAAACGACGATAATGGTCATTTTGTGACCGGGCCTTGTCCTGTTCACATCCAGGCTCTCGCTCTTGAGTATATTAGTTTATTTGCCTGCAAATTAGACAAGGTATGTCTTATTTTATTTTATAACATCACATTCATTGTTCCAGTGTCTTTGATGAGCTCACACTGTTCTTGTCCTACTTCCAGTCTAATTCTGCTTCATCCTCTATTCATCAGAATTCAGATGATGAGTTATGGCTCATTAGGCTCATTATCCAATGGAATTTGCATTCATTTGCACCTGGTTCTTTAGACAGTGTTATGAAAATAGATCTCTTTAGGTCTTCCAGTATATCACCACTGTTGTAGATTTAATTTTTTATTTATGTAATCTTGTCTATGTCAAAATCATCTAAGGCTACCAGCATCTCTATTGCAATTTCATTTGGCCCAGCTATTTTGTTTCTGTTCAATTTGGCCAGTGGTGCTTCCACTTCAGTTTTTGATATTTCTGATCTGTCAATATTTCTGTGTATTGCCAGTGGTTCTCTTTCATCATGGAAGAGTTCTCCAATATGTTTGTTCCATCTTTGAAGTATTTTTTCTTTCTCTAATATCATTGTTCCATCCTTACCAGAACAAAAACCAAATTTGGTTATGTGTAGTTGGCTTTCATAGAACAATGAGAGTCTAGTTAATACAATGTTCATTAGTATTTTCACCATAGTGAATCCAAATGAGATACCTTTATATATGTGAGGGCCTTTTCCTTTTCATAGTGCATATTTGTAATGCATTTCTGATTCCATACTTCCTTCATGAAATTGAGAAACTCTTGATAAAATGATGCTTTATTATTCTTTATTTTTGGCTTTCTTGACTTCCTGATTACTAAGTTCATTATTGTTCATGTTTGGAGACAGACTTTGTAATGATTGGGTGTATATTGGTGTATATTTTATTTCCACAGGTTGAAATGGAACTCAAAGATTTTTTAGAGACCCGGTGTTGGTTGTGATTGTATGATATAGTCATAATTTTTCACTTTTCTCTATATTTCAACTTACAGTTTATGCTGTTTGGCCTTATTAATTTTATTTCCAATTTTTTGAAGAGATTGGTTTTAGAGCATGCTAAAACCAATCTCTTTTTTGCTAATCATTTAATATTCTCCCTTCCTTCTTATCCTGTTTGTTTCTTTCATATATAAATCTTTTAAAATCAGAATTGTCATCCCACAAGTGTATCTTTTTATGGCTAGGTATTTTTGGAATGGTTTTGGCTAATGAAGATACATTTAAATTGTTTGATTCCTCTCTGGTTTGGTCAAGATTTAGGGGCATCAATTTGCACTCTAGTTTATTACAGAATATTCAGAAATCTCTTACACTTTCATTTTTAAGGGCTTGGATGTTATACCTTGGCGTCTTTCATGATTTATATGAGAAGTAAGCTCATTCGCTAGTATTATCAGTTTTGTTACAAGAAGTCTGTGACCAGATTCAAAGTAGGAGTTGTATACTCTAACATATGTTACAAATTGCTTAAGCCAAGAATCTAAGATGCTGAAGTTAGCACTGTTATTTTTGTCAAGGGACATGATTCAGAATTTTATTTTTGATTTCAATCTTTCATAGAATAAAAAAGTCAAATAGTTTTAAAATGAAAATAAATAGAATAAAATAATTAAAAAAATATTCTCACTCAAAAAATGGTATTAAACATTTTTCAATTCTTCAAATACTATTTTATTCCAGGTTTATTAGCAATGACCAAGATCTGAAAGAGTTTTAAAATCATACTGTAAAAATAAATGTCAATTTTTCACAAACAAATATATACCCTACATGCAAACCACTAATCTGCCATGCTGGTGGCCTGCTGTTGGACCTCCATGTGTTCATCTTGGAAATGTTACCACTTGCGAACTGCTAGTGGCCCACCGTTGACCTGCTGGTGGCTGCCACCAAAGGACTGCTAGTATTGCCATTGGTGGCCCACCAGCAGGCCACTAGCATCTTGTGTGTAGGGTATTAGTTTTTTTTCTGTGGAAAAAAATATAAATTATTAAAATTAGTTACCTACAATTCTCAACCAAATTTTTTTTTTTTTTTAAATCCTTTTCTTAAGATTTTTTAATGTATTTACTGTTGATATTAAAATATTGTTTTTAATAATAATCCTTTGTGGATCTAGCTTTATAAAAAATGTAAAAACTAGGAACATCCAAAATTTAAAAGTATAGATTAACTACGAGTTAAGTAAATGTTAGCTGGGTATAACTGACCTTGAAAAATACTTATACAAAACTTAAAAAGATCTTATATAAAGTTTATTTATTAATAAATAAATGCTCAGTGAAATCCAACAATTCCCTAAATTTTTAAAAACACTGTTATCATTTATTTTTTTAAATCATGTGTCAAAAGTGCACATGATTTTGGCCGTACCTAGGCTCATTGCTTTATCTTTCACAGGTTAACAGACTTATTAAAATGAATATTCTAATGGTAAAAACTTTCAAGTAATTAAAATGTCATCTCTGGTCCAACTCAAGAGAAAATTCAGATATTAACTTCTATTTTTTTTAAAATTCTATAAGATGTTTTTGATTTGAAAATATATTTCTATTTTCAAGTAAATAAGAGGGAGGAAATAATTTTAAAGAAATTTCTTTACTGCAAGGATTAAAACATTAAATTAAACATGTTGCTATGTTACAAACTCTTTAATGGTATTATTGGTTAAGTAAAATTGGACCAGAGACTTAAAACTAAAAAAAATTATTACTAATTCATTAAATATTCTTATATTTTTGATTGGTCTCAGATTCTCTTTTTACAATTCTCAATGAATATAATTGATTTCAATTTGGATGTACATCTAATATATCTGTAGAGAACTGAATGAAGTACATATATTCATTTCTTTTGCACTGTTTTTTTCCATTCAATTAAATCATTTCTATCTATCAGACTCTATGAGGAACTTCAAGCAATAAAACAACAAGGAAGACAAGAACAACAGGAGGAGAGAGCCAATACACAGAAATTCTTGGCCCTCACTTTCTTGCCTGAAAAAAAGAAGTGTAAGTTATCAACTTCAAATGTGTTTTTTCTTTTAAGAATATTTTGAGTAGAATTATGTTTCAGTTCTATTACTTAGTATTACTACCGTTAAATTAGACTAGAGGTGTAGATCATCATTAATTATTGTTTGATAATTTTATTTTGTTAAATCAGTTTTTCATATAGTGACTAGTAAGTAAATAAAAACAAATACAATTGTGTAATAAAGGAAAAATCTATTCATATAAAAAGAATGAAGAGCAAAAATGCAAAATCTTTTTTTCTTCTTTTTCTGAAATCAAAATCTATTTAATCTCTTATTAAATATAAAACAGATATTACTTTTATATTGATAAAGATTTTTGTTCATAATGATTTTTTTCAATGACTCCATAAATTATTATTAGTGAAATTATTAACCTGGATAGAACTTTGGTATTGAAATGAAAATAAATTCATCCTGCAGAGTACACTTTAATTATAAGTAACCAAAAATAAATAAAAAAAACATTTCCTTTTATTTTGTGGGGGAACACCTCATTAAAACTTGACAGTGTGCAACATGTTTCTGTGTTTTCAATGTTGAGTAGATCATATTCCGAAAAAGTTCTTGAGGCATTTTATATGAAATCAAAGCAGATTTCCTTGTAATATAATAACAACTCTAAGTAGAAGCTTATGAAGCTTTATTTAGACTCTGTCGGCTTTAGTGCTGTAAAATGTTTATTTTATCATGATGAATGGTTATAAGTGAGAGGGGAGATGGGATGTGCTTATTTTATTACCACATTCTCTGTCAGTATTTATTTTATTCATATGGAAGAAAATCCTTCAAATGACCAGGCATCTTGCAGATCCTTTGAAATTATTGGAATGGCTCAACCATATCAGGTCTTTCTTGTGTTTCTTTCTAAGGTTTTGAGTTTTGGTGCTTCAACCTGACATGCTGTCAGCTACTTCAACACATGGACTGTTTGCTTTCTGTATTAGAAGAGTTGGTAGTAGAGTGAGCACGTTTCTGAGGTACCAACTGTTCGTCATCAGAATTAGTCATACCATGAGGATCATGCACTTGAAGGCTCTAGGTAATCCTTATGGGCGGGGAGCGCTGTCAATGGAATCATCACATGATGTATTGGGAGCAGATATCACAGATACTTCATGTGCAGTTACAGGACCTGTTTTCTTTCTTGCTGGGGCCATATCTTTTATAGAGACAATATTCAGTCTGGATAGTGTACTGGGGTTTGCCTCTATTAGCTCTACTTTATCTGTAAGAAGTTCATGCTTGCTCTGGCAAGCATGATGTCTCAGAGGCACAGTTCCGTGTTGCAAAAGTTATGATGGGATGGAAGTACCCATACAGCTTTGTCACAGGAAGGAGAAGAACCTTTGATGTAGAGTGGCATTAATTGCCTTACACAGCAATGTTCTAATAGCATATAAAGCAAACTTTCCCAGCAGTCTGTTGAGAACTCATGATTAGCAGCAACTAACTGTATTGACTTCCATATTATACTGTTGTGCCTTTCACATTGGCCATTGGTTGTAAGATGTTGTCCTACTTATGGCCACTACTTGTTCTTGAAAGAATTGCTTGACACAATCTGACGTAAAGGCAGTCCCCTGGTCAGAGTGGATGTAAGCAGGTAATCCAAAGACAGCAAAAAGAGAGCAGAGGGCTTGAATCACAGTTGTCACTGTCATATCTGGGCTAATTGTCAGTAGGAACTTATTCCCTGTTTTCGATGGAAGTGATCCCTGAAAATCCAGGGTAAGTCCAGGTTGAGTGGCTTTTATAAACATTCTGGTTGGTCATATGATTGCTGGAAGTTAAGGTTTTGATTTTCTAGTAGACCCTGCCAAATGTTTACTGACAATAAGCCATTAATGAATGGATACCTTACTAGCTCTGTACAACATTGTTCAGCTGTAACAGCTTTGAAAGTGTAATCTTTGCTAAGTTTGTTTAGTTCCCAAAGAAATTCATCGATTGTTTTTGAGGGCTGCTGGCATCTCATAGCAAGTAGTTGGTGAGCAACCATTTTGTTTTTCTTTCTGATATACATTTTGTCCAGAATTCCTTGGGCTTCTTCATACTCATAGATGCTAGCTGATACATACTTTGTTAAATAACATAATTTATTGGATGTTTCATCACAGCATTCAAGTTTTCAAAGATTTTTTGCCAATTCAGAGAATTTAGATTTGTAGTTAGTTTGTCTGGGCAGATCATTGCAAAAATGAATTAGTCAAATAAATTGTAATATACTATCAACTCTAAGTAGAAGCTTATGCAGCTTTATTTTACTAATTCAGCTTTAGCACTGAAAATGTTTATTTTATAATAATGATTGGTTATAAGCAGAAGGGGAGATGAACTGTGCATATTTTATTACCACACTTGTGTAAACAAAAGGAATGGTCATTGGCATCTAGTGTGATCTGTTTATACATATACCTGTGTCTATAACTTATAATTTCTTATTCTCATTTCCCCAACTTTCCTTTTTTAGTCTGATGTGTGCAGAACTTTAATTACTTGATCATGATCTAATGAGAGAGGAATGAAAATCAGTCAGCTGATTCAATATTTTTTCTTTTCTTTTTTTACTGCCATTTGCTGTAGCTGTAGTTTCTTTTTTCTTTTCTTTTTTATCTGGCCTTTTTAATATTTAAACTTTGTAATATAAGATCATTCTAAAAAGTGCTGTTTCTTCTCTATTTATTAAAGATTAAGATTTTTATATTATATAGAGATTTTTATTAAAGATGCAAGTTCCACCACTCTTCTGTTGTCTATATGTTTTGTATCTCTATTATTTAAATTAACATGGTGTTCTTATTTTTCACTATACCCTGAAATATATACTGCAAGGTTCAGCAGTAGTTGTATAACAATGTTTTGTTATTAAATTTTCAGTTATTGATGAAAATCCAGAGTCTGACACAGAACTAAAGCCCGATTTAACAAGTTCGGTTTTCCAAACTGAACTCAAGGAATCTGATATAATTCCCAAATCAAATGAAAATAACTCAGTTCCAGAATTAGATTTAATCAGTTCTGGTGAGTATTAGCTCCATTTAATAATGGTTCTTATTTTATTAGAATAAATCAAACTTTTCTGTTTGCAAATTTGTCATAATGAGAATTGCCAACTTGACACAGGAATGGAAACTCAAACAAATAGTCTTCTGTATACTTGTATAACAAGAGATTTGCTAAAGAAATTGATATCATAATTATATATTTCAAATTTATCAACATCATAAAAATATTTTCATTTCAAAACAGTAGTTTGTAATCAGAATATTTATCCTCTCAGTAAAACAAACCTTACCTGATAAGTAGAAAGATATTCAGACTATTTCTCTTTCACTCAGAGCTATACCTATAAAAAATAGATATCAATACTATTTGAATATATCTTACTTTACAAGTATCCAGATATTTTTTACCTGATTTGAAATGTGATTAGTCTGATAAAATGGTTCTAATCTGTCTGACACTTGAGATAGAACATTAAGCATCTCAGCCTTTATTTGAGTTATGATAACAAGTACATCATTAATGATATCAAGTACATCATAAATAATGATAAAATTTATATTTATTTTCTGATTATGATTACAAAACAGTTTTTGACTTTTTTCAATATTTAGAATATGATATTAAATTACATGTTAAAATAGTTGGATATATTAATTTCAATGTGTATCCAAATATATTTTTGCAGGTGAAAAATCAAAATCTAACAAAAGGGATTTGTTATCTGTCAAAATCAGTAACTAGGACAAAATAAAAAAAAAATTAAAAACCAAATAAAGCTAGTATGCATTTATTTTATTTTGGGATCAAAGAAAAATTTGTTTCATTTTTTGTTTATAATATTCCAGATCAATATATTTATAAATTTAAATTTACCAGAAGCAAAGAGATTTATAAACAAATTTTAAGTATAGCCACAGAAGCTTCTTTTTTCCCCAAGTAGATTTTCAAATCTTTCAGAAAATATTTTGGTTTAGTATTAGTCTGATCAAATAGATAAGTGAAACAAATCTTGTATTTGTGAAATGTTTGTTGTATGCATCATACTTTGTCAATTTCCAATTCTAACATCTATCAGTACATATTTCTATTCTTGATTTCAATGGCAATTCAAGTGGGCCGGATTTAACTTCTATGTCTCTGGTGAGAACATATTTCCTAATAGGATAATTGGCAGGTCATGTGTATTTCCTAACAGAAAGACTGCAAGCTGGAGATAGTTTCTGTATTTTCTAATGAGAAAACGGCAATATGAGCTTATATGCTGCACAGGTGGGTCAGTTTAGCCTGGCCATGCTAAAATTATACAACTGCTTGTTTTGACACCAGGCAGCTAACTAAATGACTGACCACATTCGTTAGTCTATGAACATATGACCCTCATGATTTCATCTCAACCAAAGGGAGATAATTGCCCTTTGCATCCCTACACAGCCATTATTGATATTTTTTATCAAATATAAAGCAACCATCTTTCTTTTAAAATTCTTACAAAATACTTTACTATTGACTTCTCTTTTCAAGCATTTGTCAAACAACTTGATTCACTCTTTTCAGTTTAAATGTGAGGTGTGTGATATTTCAGAGAATAGGGTAATACTTTAGTATCAGGTATCACATCTGAAAATGAAAAGGTGGATCATTTCTGCATAGTTTTAGGAAAACTACTCAGAAATTACCCATCTTTTTTGTATCCATAGAGAGGTGAGAATATTAGAATTCTAAAACAATACAGAAATCTACAAAGAGAAATAGTTATTGAATCATGATAATGTCTAATCACTATACTGAGGAATACTTCTAAACAATAAAAACTATATACTGTAATGTCTTTGCACATGTTTTATATTATATGCAAAGAATAAGTTAACTGAACTGCACAAGAAAGTAGTTTATTCTCTAAGCCTATTCCATAACAATCAGAGCAGGCTTATTCAAAAAAAAACTTTCAGAAAAGCTTTATTTATCTGGTTACTTGAAAACATGATGAAAACAATTAAAAAATATGCTTGTATATAATACCTAATAAGAAAAAAAATCAACTTCTTTTCTTCGATGTTAATAAAAATAAATTAAATTAAAATATTATTACATTTTATGTATGTTGTTTATTAATTATGTATGTATGTATGTAAAAAAAAGAAAAAGTAGAGATGTATATGTATTAATATTGAGATATATATATATATATAGAAATACATGTATATATTTATTTAGTTTATATTAAAATAGGTTCAAGAAAATAAACTGACTGTATATCTTCATAAACTGCAAGGCAATTAAAATAGGAATTCACATGTCACATTTTAGATGTAAAGCTATTGTGGGGATATTTTTCTTTTTGTATCAACAGAAACAATTGATCATGCTATACAAAGAAACACCTTGCCAGAGATGTTAGATGAAAATGGGTCCTGTCAACTTGAATCCAAACATAAAGTAAAGAAGAACTTCCTGAAAAGAAACATTCAGGTACTGTAAAAAAGCTTTTGGACTCACTTCTGTTAAATAGAATTTGAGTAAAAAATGTATATGATATTATTCTTATTTTTGTTTTGTTTTTTTTTTTTTTTTTTTTTTGTTTTTTTTTAGCAAAAGACCACTCAATCAGTCTTCATTGATTCTTGACTCACTTTTTAGGAATTTCCATCAACAATTTTTAATCAGTCTTGCTCTCTGCTATTTGAATATTGAATTTATCAATATGTCACTTTTTCCCTTTCTTAGTCTCACCAACACACACAAATATACATGATCTTAATGGTTTAAATTTTAATAGCTAAAAATATGCAAAATATTAAAAAAATCTTGTGAAAATTTAAGTTTCATTCTTTATGCAATTTTTGACACACTCCAGTACTGCTGCTATCATTGTTGATTCATCTTTCAAATTATTTGTCAAACTTTGCCTAAATGAGCCAGTAATATTTATGAATTCTTTTTGTCAATCTGATATTCATATCAGATTGACAAAAAGAATCAACAATGATAGCAGCAGTACTGGAGTGTGTCAAAAATTGCATAAAGAATGAAACTTAAATTTTCACAAGATTTTTTTAATGAATGAGATTTTGAGAAGTCTTTTTGACAGTAAGCTAACTGATCTAATAGAGCATGATAAGGCGAACATAATGGCCAATGATTGATTCACTATTACCAATCCATTTAGGAAAACATTAAAATATAAATGCTAAAACAGAAGAATTACTCACATAAATAACATTATTGTACAAAACTCAAAGAATTAAGCTTTTATCCAACATTTATGAATTAAATTATAAAACTACTATAACTATCCTGTGTATATATGTACTACTCACTTCATATGCTACATGTTATTTTTTATTGTTTTTTATTATGATGATCATGAGTTTTATAAGAAGTGCAAAGTGACAGTTAACCTCAATGAAGTGTGTTCATTTGATGAATATTGGTTTGGAGAAAAAGAAATATTTCCAATAACAGAAAGAAATTTCAAAATGCAGTTGTATATATGTTAAACAAAAAAACTTTCTTTGAATCAATTAATTGTAATAAACATTTTTCCTTGTTGACTGATCATTGGAGATATTCCAGTTAAATATTTGGTTCAGAAATCTCATGATTTGAAAACTGAAGATGTTATATTTATTTAGCTTATTTCTTGCTCTTTTCCACAAGAAATCATATGAAACAGAAAAGAAATCATGAAAAATAAAAGGAAAATTAATCTGTATACAAACACCTTAATAAATTTATTAATTCAGTTTTATATTATTTGTATGGTGACAATATGAGATGTTTATGAAAATACTAGCATTATAATACTTTTAAGCAGCACTTAGTGCTGTCTAAAAGTATGATAAATGAAAGCTACCATCATTTGTTCTATTTAATAACATTTTCTTAAAATACAATCTTCTATCTAAATATGTGAAATGCCTAAAGACAGTCAGAAAGAGAAATTCATAAAGTATCCAGTGAGACTCAAAGAAATTACAATTGGGAAGTGACACTAACATGCTAAACTTTCAACTCAGATCATTTCCATCTGAATGCTTCTTTTTGTAAATTTTATTATGGATAAAATCTACAAATTTGATGTGTCCTGGAAAGGGATATATTTGTTCAAAGTAGCAAAGTGGTTTTGAACTACTGCGTAGAACAATCTAGCAAGTCATATTACTGTGAGGGGGAACCCAGGTGTATGCATATTCATTACATCAAAATTATTTAATCATATCTAGCTAAATGTTTTTAAATATAAATTTATTTTAAAATTCAAAATTATTTACATAAATTTGAACTGAGAAAAAAAGCTTTGTTTTCTATTGTTGTATTACACTTTTCTTCTTATGAGACATAGAAAATTGCTTTTACAAGAAATTATATTTAAAATCTCAGTGACATTCAAGTGCCTAAATTTACTTCTATTAACAAGTCTATCACTTTCAGAATTTACTGAATTATGAAAATGTCCTTAAATGTGATACTGAAGATTTATTAAAGGATAATCATTTATTGAAAATCAAATTCTCAATATTGAATGCATGAATTTTATAAGCTTATCAGACTGAAACTGTTACTGGAGTTGAAATGCACAAATAAAGGTAACTGAACAATTTAATCATATCTACAAGTGTCTGCTGAAAAGTTCATAGACTGACCAAGGTACTCTTATGGAATGTAACCAAATGAGGTTTATTTTTCAACATAGTCATCCTTGAAGTCCACACACTTCTTCCATTGGTGTTGCAGTGACTGGATCCCATTGATGAAGGAGCTTTCATCCTGTTAGTTGAAAAACTCATCAATAGTAGTTTAGTGAACTACTGCAGAGGGCAAAAAGGATTTGCATGCATTTTTTGCAATAGTCAATGTAACACTAGATAAAATAGCTTACCTCCAAGAAAAAAAAGCAGATCTGGATGTGTTTCCTATGTAAAATATTCCAAAAGGAAAAATGGCAGCTTCTCAAGTCATACATTCAAAATGGTTAGATCTTGGAGTCAGATAAACACTCACAAGAATTTTCTTTTTAAATATGTAAATTTTTGCTGTCAATCAAGCTATAAAATGTGCATAAAGAGGCAACAGAGAGAAGTATGACTGTTGTAGTGAACAGGAGACATGTGTTGTAGGAAATGTTTGACTTAAGGAAATGAATTACAGAAATCACTTACAAGCCAGAAGAAACTGACTACAAATATATTGACTGTTACAAACTTTAGTTATAAGCAGATATGATGTCATTATCACTGCAATATTGGTTCTCAGCCAACTGTTTTTTTCATCTTGGGGAATAGATGATAGTTAGATGAGGCCCAACCAAGAGAATAGCGAGAATGATCAAACAGTTCAAAGCCATAGCCAAGCACAGCAGCCATTGAAATCAAGGACTTGTGTGTTGGAGCAATGTTCGGGTGAGACAAGACTCCTTTTATCAGTTTTCCTGAGCATTTGGTCTTAATAGCCTTTCATAACTACCTCAGCAAGTTGGTATGGTACTCTCCATTGATGGTGTGAACCTTTTAAAGATAGTCAGTAAACCTAATGTGTTTTACATTCCCAAAAACTGAGGCCATCACCTTCCCTATAGATGAAATAACTTTGGTCTTCTTTAAAGCAGGTGAGAAGAGGTGTTTCCATTACATGGATTGTCTCTTTGTCTCTGGCTCAAAGTGATGAACAAAACACTCATCCTGGGTTAGGAATCATTCAAGGAAACTAGCTGGATCTGCCTCAATGTCAGCTTCTCCTGTGATGTAATCAGTTGGTGCTCTTTTGATCGGGTGTCAGAAAATGTAAAACCCACCAAGTAGAAACCTTCATCATGCCAAATTCATTGTACAGAATATTCTCATATGAATATTCTCTCATGGGATAGTATTGACTATTTGATTTATAGTCAACCCATCACCATGTGGCGAACATGATCAATGTTTTCCTTGGTAGTAGCAGTTGCAAGACATCCAAATCTTAGGTCATCTTCAAGATTCATCCTCCTACTCCTAAATTAAGCTGCCCACTTTTGCACTGTTGATATAGCTGGGGGTATCATCCCCTAATATAGCAATCATGTCAGCATGAATATCCATGAGAGCTAAAGCCTTTTTCTGCAGGTAATTGATAATGCCACAATGCTAAATTTAGTCCATTTTCAAGAGTAGTTGCTACTAGTTACATTTGAAGTCTTTTTTGAACAGTCAGATGTCAGTTTACCTGAAAAAAACCCAATGTAGTTATTAATAAGAACAGTTAAAATTGACTCATGGAAGATTTCACAAGTCTAGCATCATTCCTTCATAATCAGCCTATAAACATTTCACCTTACGTTTACAAGCTTTTTTATTAAGAAATATAAAACTCATTATATTTTCTTCAGATTTATGCCTTTTTAGAAATAGCAAAAAATAACTACATTTTCTTGTCATGCAAAAATGCATGTAGAAATATGAAAATTTGCTACATTTTCTTAAGATTTATCCTTTTTCTTTAGAAATAGAAAAAAGAGCTATATTTTCTTTAAACTGATGCTATTTTATTTAGAAATAAGTAAATCAGCTACATTTTCTTCAGATTTATTCTTTTTATGAGGAAATATGAAAATCTATATTTTCTTCAGGTTTTTTATTTTTGTTTGAGAATATAATTACATTATTTTCTGATTTTTGCTTTATCATTGAGAAAAATGAAAATTAGGTACAGATTCAGATTTATTCTTTTTATTTAGAGATATGAAAACTATAATATTTTCAGATTATACTTTTTCAAAGAAATTGCAAAATAACTACATTTTGTGCTTTTAAATTTAGAAATATGTAAATCAGCTATATTTTCTTCACATCAATGAATTTTTGTATAGAAATAATGAAAATAGTTATCTTTTCTGTCCTTTTATGCTTTTGTATTTAAAAATATTTACATCAGCTATATTTTCTTCATATTTATGCTTTTTTCTTTATAAATAATGAAAATATTTACATATTCCTCTGAGAAATATAAAAATCAATTATATTATATTGTTCTCAAAGAAATACGAAAATCAGCTGCATTTTCTTCCAATTTATGATATTTATTGAGAAATATTAAAATCAGTTATATTTTATTCAAATTTATGCTTTTTTATTTATAAATATTAAAATCTGTTACATAATCTTCAGATTAATATGTTTAGAAATATAAAAATCCTTCATTATTTATATTTTTTGAACTATTTTTTTATTTAGAAAATACCATATTCATATATCCATTTTAAACCGGCCTTCTTCATTTTGGAATTTTGAATAAAATAAAACCATTATTATTTTTCCACCTGTTTAGAAGCTAAATTTTTATTCCACATGCCATTTGCCTTCTCATTTCTCAGTTATTTCCCTATAAAATCTTTTTTTTTTTGGTTCACCATTTATTTTTTATTTAGAAAAAAATTTATGAAAATATGAAAACAAATTTTCTTATATTTATGTGCCCATACCCAAAAATAAAAATAAGTAATATTA